TCATCTGCCAGTTCCCTCAGGACCCGTTGATTGCTTTCAAGTTATTTACATCAAGTGAAGATCAAGGCCAATGTACAAAAGACTGATAAGTACATTAAATAACGCACTTTAATGGTTTCTTTTGACTTCAGAAATCCAAGCTGTGAAGACTGTATGAAAGTCTCCAGTTTTTTATCAGAAGGAAATCTAAAAACCTGACTTCGTTAATCTTTACTTTTACATTTAGGAGCATAATGCAATAACTATAAAATTAGTGGAATTGAAAACAAAAATTTGAGAACATTTCATCTGATCTTCTCATCCTTCCAGAGAGGTAAAATCCTAGAGTCACTTTATCAATGACGAATAAATTAATTTATATTTCTGATAATGAGAATAGCACCAGGGAAGGTTGGATGGATTCTCTCTAATATGGCTCCTTTAAAAATCTAATGTAAAACATTTATTGCAATGGTAAGATATTTTCTGAAGAACTTTTATGCATTACCAACATTTGCATTAACAAGATGTTGGTAATGCATAAAAATTAATTTATTCAGAAGTGTTTTTAACAGGAGTGTGATGAATATGATTTGTTGTTTTCACCGACAATTGTTTATGACAATCATGTTCTTGGTCATTCCAGCACAGAACAGAAAATCATGTAAAGCTGTACCTTTATAGTAGCTAGCGCTACTTCCATTATTGCACACTGCCTCAGGGTCAGGCTTCTGGCTTCCTCTCGAATCACATGGTCCTGCAAAGCAAGTTAAGACTGCAGTTGATTTTGAAAGACAGTATTGTGGCCTGTCTGTTCTTGGCAAAACAAATAAACATACAAAACTGCCAAATGCCCCCCAAGCCCCTGTGTTTAACAGGGACTGATTCAACTTGAGACTTCTTTTACAACAAATCATAACCTAGAACAATCATATTGTTTAGGGAAAAAGAACCAATGTTTAATACCCAGCATCTGTGTAGCTTTATTTGTTTTCTTAGGATACATTATTTCTCTGTTCTAGGGACAGGGAAAAGGTTAAATTTTAAGTTTAAATAATTATACTGGATGATACTGAAAAAATTCATTTTATTAATGAACCTGACAGTTTAACTAATGTTAATGCCCCATGCTTTAAAAAAAAAAACAAAAACAAACCAGGATTTCCTATTAGAACATAAGTTAAATAGAATCATAAAGTGGCTATACTCCTGTGAAATCTTTGTCTAAAATAAGTATCCTGTGATTTAATTAAGCAACATTTTAACTCCTCTACCAAACTGAGGAACATAGGAACATGAATTGCCACAATTCTGCCCAAATCTGAAATCCTAATGGCAAAATTGATTGGCAAACAACTGACATCAGTATCAAACATCTAAGCTTTCCATCAAGTGTATGATGGACTTCAGTAACATAGTGCTGATAAACTTATTGTAGAGGTACATGCTATGTTTTGATACATACCATAAATAATAGGCAGAAAAAAATTAATAGTATTCCCATCTTAGGGAACACAAAGATCTCAATCTATTTTTTTTTTTTGGTGATGTTTAATGCTTATAGGGCCTAGCTGTGCAATGAGAATGAAATCATCTTGGCCCATCTAGTGATCGCTACCATGTAAGCATATAGTCTTTTAGTCTTAATTTGGTTTTGATGATACTGTAAAATCATTACTCACCGTATTCAATCCTATTAGAGTAAATAAGCACAAGGATGAGGCATGAGGCTTAGCCTCACAGTCACTAATATTTGCACCTATTTTTTTCATTAGAGCAAGCCATTCACAGCTTCATTTGGCTCCATTACCTTGAGCTTTGACAGCTGTCCAAGATCTTTGGCTGCACTGAATATCATCTGGGGCCCCTGTAATCACATTGAAAATTCAGGAAACAGACTCACTTCAGCATGTTTGCTTTTTATGTCAACATGATCTTATTTTCTGCTAGGACATTAGCCAAAGTCACTGTTTTGCAAAGCTAAATGAAAATTTCAATTACACATGAGACATATTTTCATTCAGTTGATAAGGCCAAGTAGTTGAATGCCTGCAGCATGATTCCCTCCAGTATCCTCTACTTGATACAAACATTTCATATTCTGTTGATAGTGGTTTTGCATGCTCCTATTTCATTTTTTATTTAATATTTTTAAGCTAAAGCTGAGATTGTTCTTACACACTGTGTCAATGACATATTTGTCCATAATCATAGCTCTCAGGTGCTATGCTAATATAAATCATAATGGGAAGTGAACAGCCCTGAGGAACCTACAAAAGATTAACTGTCTACAGTGAAATCCTCAGTTGTGTAACACAGCATTATGGCATACTGTTAAGCCAAAGCTTTTCTTTATATTTTTTTGGAGTTTTTTTTAAGAAAAGATACCAAGGTGTTACGAAGTTAAACCAGTATTTTAAAATAGCCAAATGGGGGAATGGTACTAAAGGCCAATACCTACATGTGCGTCTTAGACAAACAGAATTCTACTATAATTCCATGCTCATATTTTTTAACACAATTACTCCAAGAAATATAATTACTAGTGCAGTTACTTGGCAGTTCAGCAAGACATAGTTCTGAACGTCTGGATTTCAGGGAGAAAAAAAAAAAAGTTTTTGTTTCAAAAGGTTTGTTTCCAATAATTTTGCTTCTGTATTGTTCAATTGCAAAATATGTAATATAGAACTGCAGCTTAAATTTTCATTATTTATTAGTAGTGAGAGTGGTAAGATAAATATGAAAATCAAAAAAAAAAATAAATGCTGCTTCTGAATATCTGTGCCTCTTGCCCTCAGAGAGAAGGTAATATTCAAGGCTACCACAGGGAAACATCTCTCTTACTGTATCCTACTTTTCTTTGTTTTTGTTTAGTTTGTGTTCAATAGTAAATAGAAATAGCAAAATAAATGCAACTAGCTCTACACCTTTCACCATGCCTGCCAACTGGGACACTTCATAATAGAGGATACCACTAGTAAAACCCAGCAGCTGGCGAAGTGTGACATACACATGTGATACTGCAAGCACTCTGAAAGCCTAATCCAGTAGTCTCTGTACTTATTTTTCATGTTCCTTAATTGTTACAGACTATATTGAAGACTTGTATCTTCTACTATACAAATGTTGAAAAAAATTTGGAAAAAAAATACGCTGCAGACAGTTTCTAGTTAGCAGCTCATGTTTCTTAATTGTGTGTGTGGAGAGGCGAGGGTTGTTTCTGTTTTATGAAGAATGGGGACAAAGCACTTAGGGAAACCCCAGCTGTCACCATTTAAAATGATCTTAAAGAGTCTTGAGTGACAGGCACAGTCTCTGCCTTTAATCAGTAACTGGCTGATAAACAGAAGCCTTCTTACTTTGGCTGCTAACTAATCTTAACACCCATGTTGAAGACTCTTCATTCTGGATGAGGGGGCAGGAAGGCTCTTTCTTTGTCTCTGCTTCTTCACCACCCTTTCTGTGTTCTGCCCGAAATGTAGAAGTTTTGACTTCCAGACGTACACCTGTAGCTGAATGAAGTATCAACTTGCTAAACTAATGATCAGAATAAGCTTTTTGGAAATGAGCTATAACATCAGTGTCACAGCTTATTGCTTGATGTGATTTCTGAGCATCTGTAAGGACAACAGAGGTGCTTGCAGATTCAGACAGATGAACTGAAATCTCTATTCAGTTGGCAGTCAAAGGTTATTTTCACTATGGTTGAAAGACTAAAATATTTTTTTTATTTTAAAAATAAGGTCTACATTCAAACTCTTGAATGGAAATGCTTCAACAAATGTTTTACTGTCCTAACTAACTGAAACATACTATGTTGTTATCCAAGTGGGCTTACTAAGTCTTCGATAGTTAATTCTGTATTCTTGGCAACCAATCTTAGAAAAGCAAGAGAAAAACCCCTTAACTCTGAACCATGCTGTTCTGTGATTCAGAGTGTAACAACTGATCCCGCATAAAGCTAATAAATGCTCCTGATGCCTAATGGGAAATGCAGTTACCCAATTTAAATGCTACTTATGTATTTGCAAGTAAAATTTTTACCAAAATGCTTGAAAAGCAAATTAAAAACCTCAGAAACATAAATTTGACACAGTCACTCATTGAAAGAGAAACTGTTTCTAATTATGCATAGTAAACGAGCATTGTCGTAAATATGAACAAATTCAGTGAATGGAGCCTGGCTACAGCCTTGTGATTAGCTCTAGTCTAGGATTTTTAATAGCTCAGGTTGTTACATTACCTTAACAACATTTATACATGTTCTGTTAGATTTCCTTTTGCCTCTCCAGCCATATTCTTTCATGTATCTTTAATATATTATGATTTAATGGTGTGTCTTTGATATATGGATACCAAGCAATAGATTTTTAGCAGCTTAACTGATCTCACAGGATGTATACGGTAAAGTTGCCCAAAGGCACATTACGGCAATGTCATGACTAGCTTGTCATAAAGATGGTGAATTTATTCTAGACAAGATTGAAAATGACAAGAATTAACATTTGTGTTATCCCAGTCCCTCAAAAAAGCAAAAATTAAAAAAGGCAGTCCAAGCCAGGCTGTTTTTCTTTCATCCTTAGAATCAGATTTTGCTGGTGCCCTCACCTCTGTCACCATTCAGGGTTCATGTCAGGTCACCACCCACACTGGTCTTCTGTGTAGCACCACATCTTTCTGCATTAACTTACAGATTCTTTCCCTCTTCTTGTCAGGCTGTAAATGCAGTCCCGCCCAAAGACAACCTCCTACCAAGGAAGGGTATTAAAATACCCCAAAACTTTGGAGCTAAAATTGGCTTAGCTTCCCAATGTTAAGTGCTGCCTCAAAATGAGGAAAGGCACAGCAGGCAGGAGTGGGAGAATGAGATAGAGCAATCCTGGCTTTCTGGAAGCTGCAAAAATGGAAGTGACTGAATTCCTGATGCAACTGGGAAGGGCAAGGAACACTCTTGCTGTTATTGCACGTGATGAAGTCAAGAGAAGTCACACATAAAAGCACACTAAAAAGTCAGTGATTCAGCTTCTTTTATACTGCATTAATGAAATCTGCTGTGAGTTGGGGCAGGCAGTAAGTAAAAGAGTAAGGTCTTCCTCACCAGCTACAGAACAGCAACTTATCTACCCTACATTGAAACACTAGAGAGCAGCACACTGCATACAGTCAATGTATTATTCCTTCTGGTCAAGGTACAGAAAGGATAGAATCAGACCCCTTGGCAAACACCTGATTAAGCATGTTACGACAGTTCTTTATAACGTGTGAAATCCTGCTGGGACACTTACGGTTTGGTCCGTCAGTGGTGGAAGCACAATTTGCTTTTCTATTCTGTTCAAGACTAACTTCCATAGCTCTTTTAAAACCCGTTTCAGAACTGTCTTCTCACAGATTTTTGCAGAGACACTTAAACTGAAATAAAAGAAAACATAAACCAGTCTCCAAAACTAGCATTAAGACTTCAGAGTTGCTGTATCACTATATGCTCAGTTTAATGGCCATTATGGTTTAGCTTTTCTCTACCAAAAAAAAAAAAAGACTTGCAGATTATAAAATAAAAAATCTCCACTGTCCAATTTATTGATAATATGTATTTATCAAAAATGCAAAATGGTGATGCGTTATAAAATTTGATGGATGATACAGTTTAGCACACCCAAGCCCCTATATTAAAGTTTTGGTATATAATTCGTTTATGCCTTAAAAATAAAAATCAAATGTCTCCTTTGGTGTCTTACATTTCTACTGTGATGTGTGTGTTGATAGCTAATGCAAATTCAGGGCTAACATTTAAAAGCATTCATTTCTGTATACTGGCATATCTGTGCAATTATACTATATATGACTAACAGTAAAATTAATTTTTTTGAGGATATATATGCTTAGATAGATTTTTTTCTTTATTTGAGTATATTCATAAACCATCTTATATGTATCATCATGGATAAGTAGTGTCATGAATAAAGTGCTGCAGTTTTCAGGCACAGGAAAAAATATTTCAAAATAAAATCACACAAATGCATATGTGTAGAATTTTATGGAGTTAAGTCTAATTTATTAATGTAAAAGAAGATTGTTGTGAAGTCATTATGCATATCACATTGTAAATATGTCAATTCATATTTCTAGCATATCTTACTATTCTTAGTAATCACATAAATAAAAGCATAATTAATAATTAAAACCCAAACCATATTAATGACATTCTTATAATCCTATTATAAATATATATTTGTAAGAAAGGTGATATTCCCTAGCAGTTTAAAAAAAATATTAACATCTCTTTTTTCTGTACATGGGTTTAGCATCTGCTAAAATTCCATTTAACATTCCTGTGGTGAGGAATACTTTCTATTCAGACAGTAATTTAAAAGTCATTTTTGTTTCCATTATGTCATTATTAAATTAAATCTCAAAGAAGCTATGAAGAAAGGGCAATTTGGAATTGAACCTGACCGGCAAAGGTCAGCTTACCCAGTTTTTTAAACAATGAGTTGAGGACAGGACATGTAAGTGTACAAACACTTTTGGCTTTTCTTCAAGACTTGTGCTAGGAGTAAATGCCTTAACTCGAAGATAATTAAAATCTAAAGCCATACTGCTTGAAAGCAACACCTACCCCTCTTGTAACTTGACACATAGGACTAGGTACATTGCTAAAAATGAAAGGCTGACATATACATAAACAGTTAAAGTTTTTTCCAGGCTAGGAATCCAGGCACTGCACTCCTCAGTGTTACAAAAATAGTCAAATCTTACCAAATACTTTAAATAAGCATTTGTACATTGCCAGCTGTCATTGTAATTTATGTCATTGCCAAAGCCCTCAAAAAATGAAGCCTAGAAAAATTAACCCCCAAAGAAAAACCAAAATTCCCTTCAATTCTTGCCCCCATCCTTTATGCCAATGACTTTTAGACTTTGGCTGTGCATTTGTACAGTTGGGAGCTGTGATTCTAGACATGTTTCTGAAATAGAAAGCCCATCAGTCCCATTATTAGAAACAATAAGAATGTGAAGTAATGCCCTGGAGAAAGAAAAGGCAGCTATAAATCAATTCTTTAAATTGGCCTTTGACTTCGGTCCTATTAGTCCTAACATCAGAAGCCCAGAGAAGTATTTTTCACCTGCAGTCACTAACTTCAAAATAGAGTCTTACTGAGTATAGATGTACAGCAGTTTGTTGCAAGTATAAAAACAAAACTTCATGGGGATCCATGAATCTGAAGAAGTTTCATCTGGGATTGTGGGCCACCACCAGTAACACCAGATAATCACAGAACCATAAAATGGTATAGTAAGGTGTGGAGTAACATCATTTGTACAACGTTACAATGCAGAAGACAAAGAAAGGCTCCTCAGCACTCCGCAGAGTATGTTCTGTTTAGTGCTGAAAGTATCTGTGGGGGTTGGTCAGGTTTGAAAATGTTTGTCCAGGGATGAGGAAGAGGGCAGAGCTGGGAGGAAACAGATCCCAGAGAGTGCTGGGAAAACCAATCCTATTCTGCTGCCTCCTAAACTCTCTGGACGGGCTTTGCAAGACAGGCACAGCAGGCCTCCTGCAAACAACGGCTCTGCATCAAACATAATGGCTTCTGGAAGCCATAGGCTTCCCTGAGCCTGCTACCTTCCTTGCTCAGTCCCTTCCTTGTATCTTCTCAGCACAGCTCCAGCCTTTACCCCAGTGCTGCCCAGCCACTTCCTCCCAGTTATGCTTCCTGTTCTGCTTCAAGCAGGATTCCCCCTCAGCATACCTTTTCCACCTTCACTTTGAAAGCCAAGTATTCTGCACACATGTGAATACCATAAATATTAAAAATACTACACAGTGTTTCTAAGCATTAATGATGCTTCAGGGTAAAACTAAGTATGCCTGACGGTAGCATCCAGTTCCTCATCTGCCACACAAACCAGCCTGCCACACTTACGTTTTGTCCAGGAAATCCATGAGAGGCCGAAGCACAATCTCAGCATCAATAGCTGCGCTGTTCTTATTGGCTGCTGCATTCCCATTTCCTCTCATCTGATTCAGTTCATTGCTCATTTGTCTTACACAATCTTCAATAATAAATTGGAAACTACAGGATGGAAAAAAAAAAAAAAAGAGAAAGAATTCTGGGACAGAAAACATTTATCATTTTGCATCAGGTCCTTCGAAAAGATTTAAATCTTTTCTGCAATGATAGAAAGTTCACAAACACAAGGTACTGCAGGTGTTACAGGCTGAAAATAACTCTTCCTAAGGATTATAGCTCCTATAACTAATTCATGTACTGTTTTGATTCCCTCCCCCTTGTTTCTGTTATGTCATTATGCTTTTCATGCCCTTGTAGGGGTCCCAATTAATTATTTTCTGAAAACAACAGGTGTATCAGAGTCTGTAGTTTAGAGGATGATTGACTACCTGCTAGCAGCAACTTCTCAAGATTTTATTTTTGGTGTGACTTGACAACAGGAACAGGTGACTATAAATTGATGGTTAACATGAAACAAGCTCTGATAGTCTTCTTGAAGAGAAATAGAAAACTTGTACTGATTTTGCCATTTGGGTCAATTTGACTTTTTCCTGGGTTTCACACAGAGTCAGTGCTATCAGAAGCTTTGCTTACTTCTTTGCAACTAGACAGAGCTAAAATATTTGGACTTTAAAAAATATTCTTAAGCAAAAAAAAACCCACTAAGAAGCAGTTAGATTCTTCTCCTGGAAGGAATCTTTTCCACTTCAAGGCAAATGTGAACAAGTTCTTGCTCCTCAGGTTTCATCTGTTCAGCTTTACTGAAAACTGCTCTGTTTCCTAACTGACCTGGTTGAGCGATGTGTCCGACAGTCTTGTAGTGCCATTGATGTGATACAGTCTTCAGCCAATACATTTAAACAATGCAGAACAGCAGTTAGCCAGAGTCAACAGCTCAGAGGCAGAATAAGGCTCTGCACACATGGTAATTTGGTTTATGAATTGTTTTATGATGAATTGAATTCGTTTAGGATTCGTTTATGAACATAAATGCAAAACAGAGGCCATAAATTTACCAGGCCTATTAATATAAAAAGATAAATGGCAAAGATTAACTTGAGGAAAGTGAAAGAGAATTTACTGTGAGAGAAAAGAAACATAATTAAGCAGTAAGCTGTTCCAGCTACCTGGCTAATCATAAAAAGAGAAGGCAAATCTCCATGTGAAAACACTGGAAAAACTGGAAACTTTTCCAAGTACACTTGGATCTGTACTTATCTACACACTTTGAAGCCCTACATAAAATCAACGTGAAGGTGCTCATGTAAATCCTTGTGACCAGTCCCTCCAGTAAAAATCCAAAAGAATGCGTTATCTTTTCTTGACATTAGCCACCTTTCTAATATTGTTAACCTCACAAACCCCAGCAATAAACTGACCCATGAGGAATGTTCTAGCTATCTGAAGCATATCCTAGATGGAGCTATTCCTGGGTTTTCTTTAGCAGAAACTTAGTTGGCTCATTCAGAAAGAAGCCCGGGAAAGAAATAATATTCATGCACTGTCAGTGATTAGATAACCAGGGCCTGGGAGTGAAAATAAAGCAATACAATATGACAAAGGAAGCACACTCAGAAAAAATGAACACTGTCCACCCAGATGGTTCATTGATGGATTAAATAAGAAACTACAGACTTCACTTAATGAAAACCACCACAGCACTAATCCTTCTTTCTTCGATTCTTTTCTCATTTGAAGCAAAAGTAACTTGCAGCTTCTTATAGCAGAGGTACTGCTGGCACAGCACCATACTCATTCAAGACTGCAGTGGGCACACTGATTAATGAAGGATTTTGAGAGTTAGGTTCAGCTTTTTTTCAGACAATTTTGCAGAGCCACAGGCAAGCAAGTGACCCAACAAGGCCGTTCACAGTGACCATTTGAAGCAGGCTGAATAGAGGCAGACATGCCTTGTTGAAGCAGGTCACTGGGAAAAAGCTAGAAGTCTCAGGAAGTAACATAAACATGGTCGGAGAGAGAAGTCTAACACAGCATCAGGCAAGAACAAACCAGCAATTTTTGTTTTCCAAAAAGCAGAACAAAAGTCATCAGCCCCACCTCTGTTACATGTTCAGGCCTACAGAACATTTCCAGTTTTCTTTAGAGTAAGGTTACTGTTACATGTTTCAGAGTCTAAACACACACACAAATGCACACCACTTCCTCAGGGCAGAAGCAATCACTACTCAGGACATTGAAACAACCACCCAGACCTAATCAACAAGGTAGATTTTTGAACACGAATACTCCTCTAAGGTTTGCAGTAAAATAGGTTTGTTACCTTGTAGCATACGTTACGCTGAGTTCATCCAAAACATTGCTAAGTTTCACCTGAAGTTCTTTTAGAACAATACTAGCTTCAGGATCCAACTGCAAAGAGAAAAATAATGTTACATTTTACTTCTACACTATATGTTTGGATTTTCCATTTCAATTAATGAATTACGAATTATATGCAATGATACACTGCACTATGGAAAACCAAATGTGGAAACACCTGTTACAACACCTAAAAATCCAAATACTATTTAAAGAAAAATATTTGATTGCAAGAGTGAAGAATTACATGGTTAGAAATCAAAACTGTGCCATTAAACAACAGCTTTCTATTGGATGATACAAACTGTGTTGGCAGTCACAAGAATAGAATTACCATTAGCAGGCAAAGGGTATTCACAAAGACACACCAAGAGAAGGATGCATGAGAATTTCGCGTTGGTGTTAATAATACTGCAGACATTTTCATCTTTCAATTTTTTTTGTACATTTCACCACCATTGGTAATTTTTTTGTGATTTGCATGAAAGATGTTTCCATATTCCCATTAATGCAGTGTAAAAGTAGAACAGCCAGCAATGGAAAAAATGGCTTGAAGCCTATCCATGCTGCTTCTACTGATACAGGATGAGGGAAGGGAATATTGAATTTCAGTACTTCTTTTTCTAAAAGCCATTAAGACGTACATTAATCAAGCACAGAGCAACACATTCTCCTGTACAGGGAGGACAGTCCCTGTACCTCTGATACAAGTTTTCTAAGCATAGGAAAAAAGGGAATGCAGGGTAGAAATATAGTTTTACACTTACAGGGATGGGGATCCATGCATAGATATTTAATCAAAAAGGTAGTCTTCTGACATTGATCAGCAGCTTGTTTATTTGCTATGCATTCTTTTCCAAATTAAAAAAAAAAAAAGATTTTTTGTCTCCCTGATCTTTTAGCATTTAGGAAAAATAGTTACAGTCCATTGTGGGATACGATTGATGATCATCAGGATCAGCAGCTGAATGTAAATTAATAGCTGATGTTCTAGGTCTTTCAGCTATCTACATCAAAGTGTTAGGGAATGATTTTCAACAATAATCCTCAAATTCTGGGCGCTGTTCTGCAGTGAGGTCAGATATAGATCTTCTGACAATTTCAAAGGAAAATATTAACGTTTAACAATTACTGAACACACAAGCATTCACACTGAACATGGTACACAGGAGAGAAAGCACAAAAATACCAGGCAGGCAGAAGACTAAAAATTTCTTACCAGATCATGCACAAGCTAGAGAATCATCTTGTTACTGGGACTACAAAGGCCAATGTAGTTACTTTCTATCAAAGGTTCTTGTGATAACCAGAAAACACAATATATTTGCTAAATTCACCTGGAATTGGATTTAGTTTGGCCAAATTGGATTAAATACTAGTATCAGATTGTGGACATAACACACATTATAGAAAGGTGCATGCAATTGCTAGACATTTTAGAGGGCTTTGTGCTCACAAATTGCATGAACAATTTTGTGTGTGTGCACAGCTGGAAGCATCTGGCAGGACATCCAGCCCTGTGTATACACATGCTCATGCTTATTAATGCAGTGTCATAGGGAAGAGTGGAATATAAAGAGGTATGCGGGCTGACCATCCAGGTGCTAGACATCTGGTGATGCGATACTAAGAATATGCTAGCAAGATTTTTAAATGCTATTGTTACTTTTGTTTAACTACTGGAAATTATGGCAATTTGCATGTCTCACCAGGACCAAAATGTGCACTTTTCATTTATTTCACCATGTGTCCTCTATGTGCTAGGGAGTTCCCAGGGCAAATCTGAGGGTCTTGACTGGCGTCATCCAAATATACCACAGGCGTGACCCACTTTTTTTTTTTCTGATATGGTACAGCTAGAGATGGGAACTATTATGATGGTTCTATGCTCTGAAATTCTAGGGGGACTTCACAACTGGTAAAGATGGTTTTAGGATGGTCTCGTGCAGTGGAGATAAGGCAAGTCAGCTCTGCACATCACACACACTAACTATTGTGGATTATCTTCTGTATATTTTATCTTTTACGCATAAATTAATCCACTATTTTTTAATATAAAAAATATGTTCAGCTATGATGCCTTACTTAAAAAATAAAATATTTGAAAAAAAATAATCAGTGGAAGTAGGATGAGTTACTGTTTCCCTCTTAAATATTCTAAAAGGCTGTAGTTCACATGACTACACTGTGCAAAACCTTCACAGTTTTGCAATAACAAGCTCAAAAATGAATTTTATTTGTGCTTTAGAAGGATCTATTATTTCAGCAAAGGCTTGAACAGCTCTCGTAACACATTTTATACCAGGTCTGCTTATTCTTAGAAAAGCATTGTGTGGGAAATGGCTTGGCTTAGTGAAGTTGACAAGCTGCAAGATTTATGCAGGTTGACATCACAACACTCACTACCCGAGACTGTAACACATAGCTCTCAAAACCACTAGGCAGAGGAGGTAAGTTTCCCAGTGAGGGAAATAAGTTATGAAGAGATGAATTAATTTCTCTAAAGCATTCCAGTGACCAAGATTTTTTTATTCTTGACTTGGCTGAACAACCATCTCTGTTTCATGAACCAATCTGTTTCTGGATAGTGCAGAGGTATTATGGGAAGGGAAGTGTGTAAGAGTTCAGGTAAATAGAATTTGTAATTCTTTAAACTAGTTGCTAGTAGTAGCAGTTAAGTAAATAGCTATAAACATGGTCAGCTGCAGAAATCTCAGCCACCCAGATGTGGTCAAATGATGAACTATAGGGCTAACCTAGTCCTAATGTTACCCAACTTTGCAGTCAGCAGGATTTTTAAGGATGAAAGAGAAAAAAGGCAATGCTGATCAGCATCTGAGAAGATGTCATCTACGGATATGCAGATATGGAAATGAAGTACCTACATAACTGAGGACTCTTCTTTTTCTCATTGAATCTCATCTGCTCCATAGAGTTTGATGAAGAAAGATTTTTTTAAAGAGCAAATCTATTTTGGTAGTGTAAATGTTATTAACCTGTGAAAGTGAAAATCATACTGTTCTACCAATTCTTTCTTAGGTTCATAAATATTTCTGTTATTTTACTGCCTTCTTAAATAACAGTTAAATTTTACCCACAACAGAACATATACATTTGTTGGCACACTTCATAAGATCTGTTAATTATGGATTATTAAATAGATAATTAGAAGTTTGACTTTTTCTAAATGCCAAATAAAAGCAGAGACTACATTTGCTGAACAGCTGAAAAAATAAGAAATCAGAAGTATTTGATCATCATCGTTTTCAAATACTGCCTAAAACTGGTAAAGTTTTTATACATACGAGTCTTGGAAAAGATGTGATGAATTTGTCTGCTTTTGACATAATGTGTTAGATTGAGCTATTCCATGCTGTAATTTAATGTGTGCTAGTCTGGACATAATCTTATTAATCGCAAACTTGGTAGCGTTTCTATAGGAAACTACAGAGATGTAAATTACTTTTGTATGAATTAAAGGGAACCTCTTTAATAGGAATTCAATTTATCTGCAATTTCAGAAGTCTAATTGCTTATAGTTTTCTAATGGGACCACCTGGTTACTTCCATTCAGAAAACAGTTTTACATATTATATGTACATCTAGGGAAGATACAGGTATTTATCAGATCCATCACTTTAGTGGTTCTTCTGTTCCATGATAGATATCCTATCTCCACCCCTCTGCCCAACTATCTAGATACAGTGAATCCCATTTTGAAATGTTTGGCTGCCACTGCTCTAAATACTTAGGCCTCTGACTTAATAGACTTAAAGATGGACACTTCAGAACTATTCTGCTTAAGCACGGGCCTTTGTCATCCCATCAAAGTCTTTAGGAAGACACATAGGTTCCTCTAGGAATTCCTAAACATTATATGTAAAGTTGTAACTGAACTTACTGAAGTGGAAATAAGATTTACCTACAGTCAATATAATACTGTTGTACATAAGCAATCTGCTTTTGCTTTCCAGTCTTTTTTTGATCCTAATTGTTGTTACTCATTTCTGCCATGTTCTGCTGTCTGGGGAAAAGCAACACAAGCATTAACATTTTTTCTTTCCCTTTTGTCAGCTTACAACTTCTGAATCATGAAAAAATGATTTAGTGCTAATGCATGCACTCCTTTTGGACAAAACAAACGAGCTAAATCAAAATTCTACATTATGATAATTTGTTCCCATGATTTTGGACTTGATTTTTTAAAAAAAGACAGTGGGTTGGATCCCACTGTACTATTCTTACTTTATTGTGCCAGCTGATCTCATTTATATAATTTTTTAAGTACTCTTCCTGCTTGGCTACAGCAGAAGAGGAGAGTTATTAAAGAAACTCATGTTGTTCAGACTGCTTTATTTTAATGGTAGGAGAGCTGAGACACCAGTTTTTTCTCTATTTATAGAGCTCCCTGCTCTGCAATATGGAATAGACCTACTCTGAACATAGGGACTGCTGCTTGATTGTGGTATTTCGACTGCATAGATTGGAAGACTGCTCACAATGTGACACTCGGGAGATTAACAGCATTTAATTTTTCTTAGAATTAGTTTTGCTTCAACTGAAATAGGTCTAATTATTTCACTGAAAATCATCTGACTTTTTATGCCCTCCATAAGCAAACTATTTTCTTCCTGCAAGGAAACTGTTTACAGATTTTATTGCTGGTTTTGTTTCTTATAAGTACCAGTTCAATAAGGCAAATTGGCCATTAGCATTTATGTTCTTGGAATAGCTGGAGCAATAAGTATCCCAGGTTTGAGGACACACATTTTAGGGGCACTTTGATATGAATGACAAAAAAAATGAACATGAATGTACTTTCCTTCAAGAAATTCCCCTAATGAGAAACAAACAAAACTTTGAATGTATTTTTCAGATCTTTTTTTCTTAGACCATGTATCAGAGATGCACTTAAGGTACCTAACAAAGGGATTTTAGAAAATATCTTGGAATTCTCTCCAAGGGTTGTGTGTTGCACCACATTTATAGGAAATGTTGCTTTCATACTGTGACACCCTTAATTCATCCTCATTAACATCAAAAGGGAAAGCAAAAAGCTTAGCTGTTTTTACGATTCATGACATTCAATATGTAGGATTGTAAGTACTTTGCACAGAACATAAGAGCATGGAAGACAAGATTATTTGTAATACTCAGAGAGTGAAAGGCAATTCATAGTAACTACAAAAAACATAGCCATATCTGGATGATAAATATGTATTTTTAAAGTTTGCTCTGAAATTTTCAATGATGACAAGGCTGCAGAAATTTACTTTATGTCATCTGGAGCAGGAATTATTTTTGCCATGGCCACTTCAAGAAGCTATTACTAGCTCAACAAAACCTCCTGTCCATGGAGATAATCAACAGATCCATTTGGAAGGTGCTATTTGTTGCATGACACAGGGGTCTATCTTATCTCTGCAGTGTCCCACTGTGGATGTGGAAAAATGAAATAATGTCTTTTCCAATTCTCTCTATAATGTGGTCACATTAGATCAAAGTTTTGTGAAACTATCAAACTACAGTCTCAAAAAGAAAAAGCTGATGTATGTGTAACTTATTTTTTTAAAGTCAGCTACTGATAATAAGGATAATATATTCATGATCTAAACATTGCTTTTTGACAAGAAGACAGGATTCTATAACTTGAAAAGATGTTAATTCCTTCATTAGCTTTCAAAATGGTCAAAGACTACAATCAATAAAATATTGAAGCACATGTTTATGTCCCTTTACTGTTGACAGGACAGAAACATTGAAGTCCTCTGAAATATCAAAGGAGATAAAGCTAAGCATGTTCTGGGCTGTTGAGTAGCAGTTCTTGGTGAAATGCTGCCAAATCTTGAATTCAAGCAGGCCATCAGATACTGAAAAGTGCACTTAAAAATGTTTTATAGATTTTTTAGAAATTCTGAAAGACTTTACACTACCTGCCTAGTAAAACTTTTCAATTTAGAGTGCCAGCTGAATGCCCAAGCATAGCTCTTTTTGACTTTAGATCATAGGGAATTACACAAATGCATCAATGAAAATTAGTAGGAAATGTGGCTGTTCTTAGCCTTAGAAAAATATTGTGAGGAATAATAAAAGATGCTTACTATCACAAACCTCATAAGAGAATCTCTCTCCTTCTTTCTTCTGCTCAGTGGATTGCAAGTTAAAGGCATTAGACAAAGACATGACACATTACAGACAAAGCACAAAGCACATATTCTACAAAATTTTCAGATACAGGCAAAACATACCAATACATAAAAAAGCAAAGTATAGTCCAATACAAACATTAAAATAAAGCTGGCACTACAGATTACAACACAAAACACCTAGTGCTGGTTGAACATTACAGATCATTAGCATATTTCTGTGAAATAGTGTTAGGTCTTCCTAGTATTCTCAGGACATTAAATAGTTCTTGTAAGCTTTTAAAACATTTTGATTTTCTTTGCAAGCAGAAGTGAAGGCTGTGACTAGGTTGAAAACAAGATGCTAATGATCTCTAAGGAACTTTGAATAAACCAGGAAACAAATAGCACTCACCTCCTTTCCTCCCATGGACTCAAACATTTTCTCAAGCTGGACTCTTAATTGTTGAATGTTGTTCATCAAGATGCAAGGCTACAAACACCAAATGTGAGAATATACATGTTATGTTCCTTGTATGTATGAATACGTGTATTCACAGTCTCTGGGTGAAGACCAGTTCAGCAGCCCTACATTCATGCAGTTGTGTTGTTCAGAGAAGGATCTTGGGTTCCCGACCACTGCTGTCTCCCCTTCCTTCTTTAATTCACACTCTTCTTTGCTCAGTCAGCACCCATTAGGCCCTTAAGACAATTTTGTCCCACCGGAAACTGAATACCTTCTCCCAGGCAGCAGGGCAGTTTTCAGATTCCAGTATTTCATGTCCTAAACCTTATATCCCATGTAGTTGCTAGTCATACTTAATACAATTATATCTGGTGGATTAAGGTAAGTAGTACATTATCGTGTCTTTGAGAGTAGACACAATAATGATCAAAGTACTTTGGAAATGAAAATAGATTGGGGGAAAGGGAGTGTCAGATTGCTTTCTCAGTCTTTGCAGAAAAATATGACAGCACTGTAACCCAGATAATGGCTGATGCTTAAGTATTTTAATAAATCAAGTAGTTCTGTTAATAAGAGAATATTATTCCAGAAATTTACATTTTGCATTGCTTGAAAATTTGGTGAATGAATTAGGTAATAGAAGTTTGTAAACATATTTTACTCTAAAAATATCGCTGTTTAAGCTCATTTCTTTAAGGTAGAACACAGAACCACAGTCGTAAAGACAGAAATTGCTGGATTAAATATAAGGTAAAAAGTAAAACATGGATAAAATTAAGCCGTGTATTACAAAATTATGGAAGAAATGATCTTGTACTAGAATTTTGTGTACTAAGATGACATTATATACTAGTTTGGTATAGTGCAGGGGAAGCAATACAACAATATTTCCTAAAAGAGTTCTGGTTGGCCAAGGTCAGGGTGATCTATTGCTTGATTGGATTAAATTAGACACTGAAGTAATGTATTTCAATAAAACACATATACTTTTTTGGACAACAAGAAGATGATGGAATAATTACAGTGATTGATACTCATTTGTACTTTTCTAGTTAATAGCATGTTTCAATGTAGTGCTGAAACATGGTGGGATTAGATTTTGGTATTCAAAAGATCAGTACATAATTTAGCTTTAATTAGTTCTACATTACTCTCAAAGGAATTTAGTGTTAGAGTACTTCTCAACAGAAGGAAAAAAAAGAAATTTGATCTAACTTCTTAATCCTTACATTACTGCTTCCCAGTAAAGCATACTATTTGCCCTCCTGCAAAAGACAGGTGGCTTTGTGTAATGGTTGAAGTATCACCTCTCTTCCTGTCTCTCAAAAAATCCACAATACCCACTTCTATTTGTTTATCTGTCTTCTATTAATTTATGATCACTAAGACTGTGTCCTCCTCTCCTGTGCTATCTCTTTCTTTCTCACATATTCATTATTCTGGATATTATCTCCAATATCACAATCAATGATTGTGATTTCTGATGGGGGAATAAGTAGATGAATATAATTTCTTGGTTCTTTTGATCAAAACAAGTGCAAATGCTTTTGGCAATATACTGAAGCTATGAGATAAATACTCATGTTGAAGCAGTTTTCGAAGTTTCCTTTGAGGCTAGCTGAGGATGCTCTTTCAAAGCCTAAGATTACCTTGGCTCAATGGAAAAATTTCTATTGCTGTCAGTAAATAACAGAACCAGAGATTAAAAACATTCTCATCTTATTATTTCATTATCATCTTGTCCTTCAGAATACTCTTTGCAGCAATTTACAGGAATCAAACAGCCAGATGCAAGAACATTTAAAAGTGAGTGGCAAGTACAATACATAAAACCAGGTATGTTTGTAAACTCTGACAGGAGGTGGAAGATAAGAGGATGTTTTTATGTTAGATAAATTTCTTTATGAAAAGCACCTTTGGTATGCTTTTATTTGAACAGTTTATGTGCATGCTTTATAGTGCCTAATAAAAATTGTAGAAGTGTTGACTTGAAAATGAATGCCAAAATCTAACTTTAATCATGAAATGAATTTGTCCTAATCTTTTTCTATCGCCTCTAATGCCAGTAGACTTAACATAATTGAGATCACCAGATCAAATGGTCTTTTATTAAGCTAAAAGTATGTATTTCAAAAAGGTAGCTTCTGTTAAAATAAGTTATGTCCCCCAAAGGCATTTGATATAATACTCCATATTATATCATAATAATATTAGTTTCATCTAAAGCCTTAGTAAAGATTGGCATACCAGGGTGACGTCAGAAATGTAGTCACTCCAACAATTAAAAAAACCCATTGGACAGGCCAAAAGACTACACAAACAGCTTGACTTGATGACTCAACACTGTGTTTTAAAACTAATTTCTTCTAGAAAGTAGTCAATTGAAAAAAAAGGCAAAGCATAGCTACAAAATGGATTTATTTTTTACATTAAATTTTGTGAATAGTTATGGCTCATATTGGGTCAAATAAAGAGACAAATCATTTTAGACGAACCTTAGTTCAGACTGATTGACATTAAAATAGAAGATGTGTAATGCATTCACCCCTCCATACTGGGGAGAGAGAGTGTTGTGTTCTTTTCAGCTCTTTATTTGCCCTGGAGGGGAAAGACAAGGAATATGTAGAAGGTGTATCTGTAAAGTTAAAAATGCATGAAGATTTACATCCTGCTAGATTATGGGGGAAAAAAACAGGCAATATGGTGTGCTGGTCTATCATATATCAGCTGGTATCCAGTGACAGAACACATGGGAATGGTTCAAAGCTGTGTCAGGGGAGGTTTAGACTGGACGTTAGGAAGCATTTCTTTACTGAGAGGATGGTCAAACACTGGAACATGCTTCCTAGAGAGGTGGTCAATGCCCTAAACCTGTCAGCATTCAAGAGGCATTTGGACAATGCCCCTAATGTTCTTTAACTTTTAGTCAGCCCTGAATTGGTTAAGCAGTAGAACTAGATAATGGTTGTCAGTTCCTTCCAACTGAAATAGTTTAGTCTAGTCTATTTTATTTCTTTCCTGGCATATTTCCTGGTGTTTCTACTGCTATAGGACTGCGTCTCCTTACACAACGATTGGCAGACTTGGCCTGGTGCTTTTACTCTTTTCAGATGCTGAAAAGATTTAGTACTGCCAGAAGAAAGATGTGTGGATGTCTACTTAAGTGAGTCTTTTCAATGTGTTTACTGCAAAGGTTACTTCAAGGTTGAAAATATCTGAAGTGGCAATTTAAATCTGAGACATGACGCATCTATATAAATAAAAGTCACTCCTCTGTAAAAACTTGTATATAAAACTTAATAATAAAGTTTTGAGTTTGGTATTTTTATTTATTAATTATATTTTAGACAAAATTGTATAAAAGGAACAGAACGGTGTAAGTCCCTCCTAGCAAATAGATCTGTGGCCTGAAAAATTAATAAGTTTAGTCTTTTGTAATATTGCTCATAAGAACCATCAATAATTAATATTTAGCTGTAATAGATGTCTTTCTGAGTTCTATTACTGTGTATATGTTGGCGACCTCTAGATTATGATGCTGTCACACTACAGAGAGCACTGGCAAGAATGAGCGTGTCCTCAAGCCATGCACAGGGATGTGAGAAATACAGACGAGATCTATGTATGAGCTATATAAGGGCTGTACTTTTAAAGATGAATAGTATGAGGGTGCTGCAGTTATTTATCTAATCATAGATCGATAAATCTGTGTAACATACTACTAAATGTAGCAGACATAGTGCTAAATGTTGCCTGCCTCGAAGTACTAGCTTTGATTAAATATCAATGATCCTGAAAAGTCAGTTTACAAGAACAATTTTCCTTGATCACGTTAAGCTATTGATAACGTCTTGAATTGCTTAACCACATCTCTAGTGTCCATATCTCATTTACTTCTGAGGCCATGGCAATCTAATTCTTCACTGGGGAGTCTTGTGGAAGCAGTGAGGCAACAAAACAGCACATGATTTTCTTCTCACTGCTGCATGGATAAAGCACAAAGTGGTAGTAGCAGAAAAGTCTGCACACACTCCCTGCACAGGGAACAACAATCTTATAAACTCTTCAATTAATAAACTGATAAAAAGAAGCAAGCCAATGCAAAATGAAAACACAAGCAAAAATATTTTCTTCTGTTTGGAAAAAAATGGCTTGTATTCACCGGATTCACCATAGTGCAAGACTGTCATCCAGGGAGTGTTTCTGCTTTAATACTGACATTATTAACTAGGATTCTCAACTAATTCCACCTATTCTAGCTTTTACACAGCAATGTAAGCAGCTATGAAAATATGCTGACCTTATTAAAAAATAAAGTAAAACAAAAATCCCTTCCTCCATTCATGTTTTTTATCATATACAAAAGTGACCACATTTTCAAAAAGTACAGCAAGTCATTGAGAGGTAATTTCTGAGGTAGAAACAAAACACAGCTTTTTACTCACCACATTTTCTTTATCACAATATGAGCTGAAGTAATTTGAAATAATTACAGCATACTGAAGAAGCACTTTGTTGATAGTCTAGGAGAGAAGAAAAATCTTATAAATGGTAAATTTCATAAAGTAAAACAAAAAATAATTAAAAAAACCCACAAAAAAAGAGGTTTATATAAATTATAAATTTTACAGGTGTTTAGACATTTAGTATATAGTATTTTTTTAGATGTAATGTAAACAATACTGTGAACACATTTTCAAATCCCTGCACAACAGATGGTGGGTTGTTCTTAATGGAACGTAATCTTCAGTAGCAGAGATACTTCAATTTTAGTCATACTGTTTTTGAGTGAGAGCTCTACTCCTTGCAATGTGTTACATGCTTATTGGAACAGTAGCAAGCTCAAAAATTCTCTAGGGTGACAATATATAGATTAAAGATATAATGGAAAAATAAAACCAAGGGAGCACTGTTCAAAGCCTGGCAATATGAGCTTACCTTACAATAATAATGTAAATAGAAACTTTGTATGCAAATGGAAAACTGTTGCAATGGAAGAACAGGAATAAATGTAAATACAAACTTTTAAAAAGCCATTAGAACTATAATGGAAATCTAAAGCTTGTGAGGAAATGTTACAATCCGAGTAGAAAGTTGACATAACAAAGTTGAGTTTATCAAACAGCAGGTGAGTAAGAACTACCACCTCGGGGCTTCAACCAACAATATTTTATTGCCATACCTTGAATTTTTCCTTCCCTTGCACTGACTAATTGGATAATTGCATTTCACTGAATTGTTCTGTTAATGGATTTGTAATCATTGCTTAGCAAGAATAATAATTGATTTAATAACATATACAAATATGAAATCTCAGAGAGAACAGAACTTCTCAAACTGGTAAACAATTTTGACAAAGTAGATGAAAAACAGTCTTAAGCCTCAGACAGCATGTCTGTCTAAGGATCCTAGTCAGAGATAGAAGAGATTGATTCTAAACATTGGAATTACTTAGCTTTTAAGTACATGGTAACACAATGTCACTTTCTCTGAAGCTTAGTTGAGATGCATTGATTTTAATTTACCTTTGCAAATCTTCTCATTAAATGAGATAGTGCTTCTGGATTAGGACACTCCAGTTTCCTAATAATCTCAAAGCTTTGATTGAGCTGTGTGAAGACATCGACCACAGAACAAGAGAAGAGGGCATGATCTGATGTTTGCTGAAACTAGACAGAAACATTCAAAGGAGTTAATACTTGTCCAGAGATCATAACTATATCAACTGATTTTCTTATACTTGAAATTCTTCCTAGAATCATAAAAAGTAATAAATACAACGTAAATTTTTAAAAAGTCTCATTGATAATACTGAGAAATGTGGCTTTTCACATTTGTATTGCTTTCAAACCTTCTAAAAATAAACACAAAATTCTCTTTCATGACATCAGTATCACATCAGAGTTTAGTGAAACCATAGACTGAAGCCTATAGGTAATTTAGGCAGACGGAATTAGAGCAGGACTTTGTCCATAGGATTAAACTTCCAAGAACTGATACCGATTGCTTATCTTGTGATGTCTACCAAGGATATTGTGGGACCAAATGTACTTCTGGTTTTGCAACACTAAACTGTCTTAATACTTTCTTTATTCTTTTCTTTAAAAAGTAAAGGCTCACCCCATCTTTTTTGTCTCTTTCTAGTGCTCCATGAAGAAATTCCATAGAGACATCCTCATTTTCATCCAGCCACTGAATAACAAATGGTTCAAACCACCTGAAAATTAAAGACAATTTTGTAAAGTCAGTACATTTCATAAAGATCCTCAGAGGAGAGATGCCATACCACCCAGCAGTTTGGCATCTTGTGTCTTCACATCTCTTCTAGTTGTTAAAAGCCTATCATCCTAGGAAAAAAATTGTCACCAAAGACACTGTGGTTACCAAAAGGTCTTTCAGGCTTCAGTTTCAAAATACTCTAACTGGTCTACCCCAGTGGTGTAAAATTAGCAGCAACCATTAGAGAAATTTCTCCATGTTTTGCAGGGCATCATATTCTGGACTTTTTTTTTTTTAATTTTAGAATGTGTCTTTTATCAATATTTGTTCTTTGTTAATATTTATTTTTTATTTGTATGAGAAAACTTCGTTTTAATAAAACATCTGCTGTTTTTTTATTTTTTTTTAGTTTATCTAAAAAAAATTTAAAGCAATAACAGGCCCCAAACTATCTCAACAAATCAGCAGACTTGCAGAAGATTAAGGAATGTGATTAAGGATAGCTCAGATAAAAGGACAGGATTGAATGTATCAGTTGCAGGAGGAAAGGCAAAAATAAAAACAACAGCTGAATATTAACCCAGTGCAGTAAGAATAATTTCAGCAGTATATCCCATTAGCATTGTATCTTGATCCAAATTTGAGTATGAAACAAATGGAGGGGTCTATAACAACTATTGCTACTGTTCCCACATTTCATACCTTCTTCAGGCATTTCCTGACCAAAATGTTTTGTCATCTATGAAAAGCTGCAGTTACAACAGTTGGACAAAGAGTCCTATAAAATAGCTAATAGCACTTTTAATACCTGGACCATTTAATTTGACAGAATGAAGAATTAAAGAGGAGGAAGTGCAAAAAGTAGAGTTGTCAGTGCTATGTACCTTGAGATCTTGCACAAACTTGAGCATAAATATTTGACCAAAATAAACCTTGTACCAAGCCCAAATTCATGGGAGACTTCCCTATACACTACTTACAGAGAGTATTCAGGCACTGCATCCTTGAAAGCAGAGAGTTCTCGCACATATTCATTATAAAACCATTTCACTTTGAAGTGCAAATTCATATAATCTGTGCTTTTGCATAACCGCTGCTTTTCATGTTCTGTAATAGAATGAATTGAAATAAAGGCATTTAATAGCATTCTAAGAGTAAATAACATTCTTGTGCCTCAATGCACTAGTGACATAATAATACAGTACTTGCATTTTAATGCAAAATTGGTTTGTTTTTTTTAGAGGTAGTAGTACCCACAGTTTCAATCTTCAGGTTCTGGGTATCCTTAGAAAAAATAAAACAAAACAAAACAAAGACCAGACCACAAGTTAGGCTTTTCAATTCTCTTCACTGCAGTAAGGAAAACCTACAAACTTGCTGACTTCCTGTTCTTTAGGTGCTTCTTTGGTTGTTACAAAATGGCTAAGAAGCTGTGCCAGGTGTCAGGTTAGAAAAGGCAACTATAGTTGTGTAGTAGACAAATGAAGTAACAGCTATAAATGCCAGTCCTATATGAATCTGTGAAGCCTGCATTAGTAAATGGGCTGCATTTATCACAGAGTGAATAAAGAGAAGGTAACTCTGCAGCCCTACAGCCATCTGATTTATACACAGCACAAGTGGAAAAGCTGGTTTAATAAAGTGTTTTTGAAATTTTTTCAAATGGGTTTCTCTGCCTTCTCAGTGTCCTCCTGTTTTCAGTATAATGGGTATGCAAATGATCATGGATGACAGGAGTCACGGCACCACCTGTAACCACTTTTTCCATTTTTAAAGTATGAGTTAATTGGTTTGGAACAATCATCCATCATTCTCTCAGGACTATGATCCTTCTTTCATCCTATCCACAGTGCTTTGCAGTCCTTCCCTGACAGCCACCTCAGACCCTGGACAGCTCCACCCTCCACTCCATTCGTTAACAGGCCCTTTCTCCTCGCTCAAATCTTTCATTTCATTCTCCCACAGCAGGAAACCATGGATCCACAAATCTTGGGTAGGGAAGTCCTTCCTTCACTTACTGCTTACAGCTTCATAAAATGTCCAAAGATCTCATCTGTCTGAGATGTCATGTCACTTGCACATTCTTCCTCAAACAAAAGACTAATCTCTTTTCCCAG